ACACACCTCTCATTTGCCTTCTCATCTGTTTAAGGCATTTGTATCTTCTCTCTTTAGTATTATTTCACTTGTATTTTTGGAGTGGAATAAAATATTGGTTGTGTCCGAGGAGTAGGCAAAATTAGCCGAACCTCGTAAATTCTGGTGTTTCCTTTATTGTTGTTTTATTGTCTTATTTATTATTTGGTGGCTGTCATAATTTTTGGTATAGTAGTTGTGACTTATTCACACTATATACATTTGGCTTCCGCAACACATACATGCCATCCTCCCAGACTCCACTTGTGAAATACACTGGATATGTTGTTGTTGTGGCTTTAAATTTTTAGCTTCTAGTATTATAAGAAAACAGATTATGCTATTGGAAAGTGACTGAATTGATGGAATGTAAGACGCTCCAAATGATTGTGTAACTAAGAGGCCAGTGGCGGAGTCACATTCAACCGAGGGGTGTCAATCGACATCCCTTCGCCGGAAAATTACACTGTATTGCTAGATACTTTTTTGGTTTTATGTATATTTACTATATGTTGACTTCCTTTGACTTTTCGGTATATCTGATTTTTTATATTTTGACACCTCTTGGTGAAAATTGTGGCTCCGCCACGGTAAGAGGCCTCAAAATCGTAACTTTCTTCTAGAATAAATTTGTTGTAAAAAGGAAAAATCATTACTGTTTTTATTTTTCCTAAAGAAAGAAAGGACAAATCTTGCTGATGGTATAACTGATCATACTAGTTAATCATTGTTGTAGTTGTAAAACTGGTGAATAAACCATGTTTTGGTGACCTCTTTTATGAAAGTTAATATCTTCAATGTTGTGATCCTATTCATTTTTAAAAGAAATCTCTCATAATAATCCTAAAATCAGTTCTTCCAAATCCTTATCCACTAATAAAACAAATTCAAGATCAACAAAACAAAATAGAGCTGCTATTCACTAATGGCGATATTTATTGATATATTGATCGCCATTTGGTTTCTAGCTTGCAATTGGTGTGAAATTATAGATTGAACAACATGACATAACAGTGACCGTTTTGTCGATATGCAGAGATCATTGAAGATCCTATTCATTTTTGTGCTGCCATGTTTTGCTGCTGAAAGCATATACAAGATTTGGTGGTACAGTTCAGGTGGAACCCAAATCCCCTTCTTAGGTAATGTCATTGTGAGTGACACTGTCGCGTGCATTCTGGAGCTGAGCTCCTGGCTTTATAGGACGACCGTGTTCTTCCTAGTGTGTGTCCTTTTCCGCTTGATCTGTTACCTTCAGATTCTCCGATTACAAGATTTTGCTCAGGTCTTCCATGTGGATTCTGATGTTGAGTCAGTGTTGAGAGAGCACCTCAGAATCAGGAGGCACTTAAGGATCATTAGCCATAGGTATCGTAGGTTTATCGTGTTGGCATTGGTATTCATCACAGCAAGTCAATTTGCCTCCCTTTTCATGAGCACAAGATCAAGTTCTGATCTTCATATCTACAAGAGTGGTGAACTTGCGGTATGGCTTCTCAACTGCTCCTTTTTTTTTTGTCAAATGTAGGATCTTGTGTTTCATTTTTTAATTATTTCAAAGAAATTCCTAGCATTTCTTTGCTTGATACCTCTTTGATAAACGAAGTCAATGACTATGACTTACCGTTGCACTTGGTCATTGATCACATATTTTTCTTGATAGTATACAGTAATTAATGTTGTACTTCACTATCCAAGCATTTCTAACAACAGAGCAAATACACTAAATTTATAACCATGTACAATTTTTAATCCCTCTAGTGTGGGATGGTGTGCAGTTTGTTATACCGATGAAGTGTCATGTAATGAGCTTTCAAGAGTAATGTCTTGAGACAGTTTGGAGATGTTCCAGTAAATGGTACTGCAGAGCCAATTTTCAGCTATGCAGCTCTATAGTTAACCAACAAATGGTGCTACCATAATCTGCCAATCAGACAATCGGAAGTTTAACTGCTAATTGCTTCAATTCTCTCTTAATTCTGTCATCATATTTCACAGAGATTTGAAATTTAGGAAGACTCCTTTTTATTTAACTTAGTAATAGTAATAATAATAATTACTGTCCTTGTTATTTAAAGTTAAATTTGAAAGGATCCCACAGTGTGGGATAATAATGAGTATGTTGTTTGTTTGTTTAAATTCGGAAGGATAGAATTCCCCAAAATTGCACTTCAAACCACACACTTTTCAAGACAACTGGTAATAGGCTTGTTGTATCCTAGAAGAGCATTGTCTGTTATCCGTAAAGTCGGACTATCACTCTTCTTTTGAGAAAGTGATAATGTCAAGCCACAAGCCTTCTTTTGTTTCTTTATTTTTCTTTTTACTTCATATCAAATTTCTATCACGAGAGCCTTAGTCTTTTTGCCTATTTCTTCCCGGAATCATTACTTATTTCTTCTTCTTGATATGCAGCTGTGTTCTGTCAGCCTTCTTGCTGGGCTTTTGATACTGTTGAGAAGTGCAGTGAGGATTACTCATAAAGCACAAGCTGTTACATGCTTAGCAGCTAAGTGGCATGTGTGCGCAACAATAGACTCTTTCGATTCAGTTGAGGGTGAAACTCCTCCAATTTCTCAAATAGTCAGCAACCAAGTTTTCCCTGTGAGTTCTCAAGGATCATCTGATGCTGACGATGTCGGAGATGAAGAAGATGAGCTTGACAATACACAATTTGTCCCCTCTTATGCCTATAGCACTATTTCATTCCAGAAAAGGCAGGCACTAGGTATGCTTCTTTCACTTCGTTTTTGTGCTTACCTTTCAAAAACAAATCGCTATCTTGACACCATTTTTGTCGATATTAGTCCATCTCATCAAAGTTGAGATTCAAAGAAGCTATCAAATCTATTCTTGATGGAATCACTTTGTGTGTCATTGAAACACATACTTCGCTTCTTATTGCTTCATCTCTTCAAGTGACGAAGTGATAACTTTGAATAACATTGCTTATTTTTTTCATTCGAGAAATGGGCAGTAGTACTAGTAAAATTCTGTAATATTGTATTGTTCGAATCAACTAACGATGATTTGATTTGTCGCTTGTGGTGCAGTGACATATTTTGAGAACAATAGAGCAGGAGTTACTCTATATGGCTTTATGCTGGACAGAAGTTATCTTCACACCATTTTTGGTATAGAACTCGCGCTGGTGCTCTGGTTGCTTGGGAAAACTATTGGCATTTCTTGAATCATTGGGTACAGAATTGAAAGGGAGTTTTGTTATTTACTTGTGCTATTGTCTAAAGTATAACATGTGGAATGTAGAATTGTTTTAGAGTGTAACATATCCGTTGAGAGCGAGCATGTATAGAGTTATTTGTTTATTCAATTTTGTATGGTAATCGTATTTATTTCCTTGTCTTATTGGCGATCTGGATCAGATAATGTTGCTCTTGTACTGGATCTATAAGGTGAAAGATTGATGTAATTTCCATGTTTTTTTTCATGCTCTTGTGTTTACGGCGAAATTGTTGCCGCTTGTCCCTTCATGTAAAATAGTTTTCTTTTTATTTCGCTTGCAACTGACATTTTAGATCGCGGTCTAAAGATCCTTTTCATCAAACTGAAAATCTTATAAAAAACGGTCGGCCACAGTCTAATATTTTGTAATTTATTGCAAATGTTAGTACACAATTTAATGTTTTGGGGTCAAACTGGAAATTAGATGGGCAAACATTAGAACCGAGCTAATGTTGTGCGGAAGATAATTTCCCGAGAGCTATATTTGCACGTAAATTTGTACTCACTTTTTAAACTTCAGTCCCTTTCTCATCATCATTCTCCTCCTCAAAGTTATATCCGTCCTCAATCCGATAGTTCCATTAGAAGAAATTCAAAGCTTCCTTACCAAATGTTTTTTGGTGATGCTGTCAAACTGTTTTATAATTCCAAAAGACCTGAGAAAAACAAGGTATTCAAGACCCACAGTAAGCCAATAGAACTGAAAAAGGTTAAACATGAACAAATAAATAAGAAGAAATTAAATGGGCAACCAGTGGCAGTGGAAAAGTATCCAACAGAGAAACTTCCTAACTTCTAGTTTTAAAGGATACTGTCTTTGATTATCAAGTTAACACCATTTGAAGGAGGCAATCTAATCAAACCAAATTGACATCGAATCATATGGAAAGTCAGTTAAAACTTCAACTCGAAGAAGGCTGAAGTTCGCCAGTTACAAACAAAAACTTCAGCTCTTCGGCAGTTACAAAACAAAAACTTCAGCTCTAGAGTTGAAGTTCGCCAGTTACAAAACAAAAACTTCAGCTCTAGAGTTGAAGTTCGCCAGTTACAAAACAAAAACTTCAGCTCTAAAGCTGAAGTTCGCCTGTTACAAAAACAAAAACTTCAACTCCAGAGCTGAAGTTCGCTAGTTACAAAACAAAAACTTCAGCTCTGAAGTTCGCCAGTTACAAAAACAAAAACTTCAACAATTACAAACAAAAACTTCAGCAAATAGAGAACAAAACTTCAGCTACTATGCTTAAGTTCAGCATTACAAATAAAAACTTCAGCACACTTGCTACTTCAGTCCCGTCTACTAGAATGCTGAAGTTTTGCGTGATTGTCTTTGCTACTTCAGCCCCGTATGCTGAAGTTACGCGAAAAAGTGGGTACGCTTGCAATTTTTTTTGCAAAGCGGACGCAAGTTAAAACGTGACCCAAAAAGCGGGTATAGATGTAAATGCACACTTTTTAAAATGAGGACAAAATCTAAATAGTGGCCTAAAAGGGATATTTGTGCAAATCCTTCCCATCCCTCCATGTCGTGATAATAGTATAGGCTAGTCAGTTTTCGGACTGATAATTAAAAAAATAATCAGCATTTGTAAAATCATTGAAAAATAGCCACTATTTTGCTGAAACACAGAAAGTTGCAGCATAATATGCTGGATTATGGAGCTCGTGCGTATAAACTTTCAGCATATTATGTTGGAACTTCAGTATATGAAAAGTTTCAGTATAATATACTGGATTATGGAGCTCTTGCGTATAAAGTTCTAGCATATTTTGTTGGGACTCCAGCACATTATGAAATTCCAGCACATTATGTTGGAAGCTCATATGTAAAAAATTCAAACTCAAGTATATTATGCTGGAATATTTTCGAAATTTTAAGGACATTTTTGTTCAGATTTTATCTTTACATAAAAAATGGCTAAATTCTGATTACTTTTATAACTGTGACAGTTTTACAATACCAATTATAAATTTGGCTATTTCTAATTTTTTTTCCCCAATGTCAAATAGTGTTGCTCCCTGTACTGTATCTGTAAGAGGAAAGATGATGTTATTTACGCATGTTTTTTGCCGCTCTTATATTTGTGATCATGACATGATCAAAAAGTTTTTTCTCGCCTATGAATATTTTGACAGTACCACTAAAATCGACAAATTAAAGGACAAAAATAATTTACATAAATAGTCGTCAGGATTTATTATTTGCTTTTCCTAGTAGGTATATATATAGAGAGAGAGAAAGAATATTTTTAGTTTAAGCAATTGATATGAGCCTATTTATTACTTTTAGTTCGGCGCCAGAAATAATTTACATTCGATAGTCAAAAATATGTATAAAATTAATTATTTCATTGTCAAACTTAGATGCGACAAGAGCAAGTGCACTTGAAATAAGTATAGCCAAGTGCATTCATATCTCGATTGCTCAAAGTTGTGGCCCTTTTTCCCGTTTACTAAAATTTGCCAACTAAAAGAGTTACTCCCTATGTTATTGTATACGGTCGAGATCGGAGAGCTCGATTTCGAGTACCGAACGAAACCTCAGGCTCAAGTTCGGGGTAGCATGAAGTAAAGACCAGATCTGGCTGGAAAATACATACCTCGGGGGAGCAAATCGAAGACCCGCCAATCACCAATCGCCATGATCTGCCTCGAGGGCAGTACATTTTCGATGACACTCAAGAAAGAGCGGGAATTTTTCAAGAACACGTGGGTCAGGGTATAAGTTAAGGGATAAGATCTGTACGAAATAGCACAAGTTCGTACTATGTTGTTATACAGGTGTACCAATAGAATTCTTTGCCATAATTTGAAATGTACCATATTAGGGTTTTCCCCTTCTATATAAAGGAGACCCCAATTGTTAGTTTGTGTGAGTCCACCAAACAGTAGAATACTTGGTCCTCTACGAGATTCTACTGAGAATGCTAATAAAGCAGTACGTAAATAAGGCAGAGGATTTTTACGTGAAAAAATCCCACACAGGGGATCAAAAAACCACGACCTACACCTATAGGCTTTCAACTTCACTAACTTGTAAAAAACCTATTACAAGTCACTTTGCAATGACTCCATTACAAAGAATTTACTCAACTAACTTGTGGTACTCTTACCACAAGCCACTTTGTGACTTCCTAGTTACAAAGGCTTTTACTAACTTGTGATGCTCTCACCACAAGCCACTTTGTCACTCTACGGTTACAAAGGCTTTTGCTTATGACTAAAACTAGTCACAATATAAACTCAAGGAGTTTACGGATTTACAAGAGGATTCCTAATCAAACGCTTCTAGCTAAGCAATTTAGGAGATACAATAAGTACAATCACAAAGTTACAACTCAACTAGGACAACAACAAGCTAACTTTTGGAACTGGCCCGTAGTTGCGTTCAAATTTGTTCTTCAAGCTTGTGAGGATTGATTTCTCTGTTTTGGTAAGAAGCTTGAATGAGAAACTGAAACATTCAAGTGATGTTTTGTATAAAACCATTGTAGGTACACTTGGATTACATCACTTGAAATGATGCGAGCACTTTAGTTGGTCAGAGAATGAGTGGGCACTGGAAACAGTGCAGTGCGGCAGAAACAGTGCAGTCAGTCACTTCGTTTCCAACTGTGTCCAATTAATTTTGTATTGCGATGAGGAAACTACAAGGGTATCAGATCCTTGTTTGGGTTCCTAGCTCCTGAAGCTGTAGCAGTTCACCTTTAGCTGGAATCCGTTAAGTTTGCAGTATAATCTGAGTAGGTTAGGTTCCCTATCTGGTTCTTAACAGTAAGTTTGTTAGATCATCAAAACATAAGGCAAGAACATTTAAAACCTATCAATTTCCCTTTTTTTGATGATGACAAACTTAACATTTATAGAGTGGATTTAGAGCAGTAAGAACCAGATTAAGTAACAAGGGAACACAGGTTCCCCTTAACTTTATGCCCTTTCGTGACACATGTGTTCCCCCTGAGTTGACGGCCATATTATTTTTTCCCTTTTGGCATCATTAAAAAACACAGACAAAATAACAGCACAAAGAAGTCCAACTAAGCTAACTCATGCCACATATATGCACACAAGCATGATAGAGAATAGAAACACGGAAATAAAGTAGTGACATAATAAAACAAGGATTGATATTAATAAAACTTTAATATGCCTTTGCTTTGAAAAAGCAAAAGCAATATTGGACTTGTTAAAATGGGAGCAGTAGTGTTTCATCCCAACCTCATAAAAAAAAGAAAACAAAAACATTTGCCAAAACATCAAAGAAAATTTCACAAACATTTCCAGAAACTGGTCACTAAAGGGGTACTTAGGGGGCACTAGGAGTAAAGGGCTTGGAAGCTGCAACAAGCGTTTGGAGAACGAGGTCCGACTTTTGCTCATTGAGCAGTTTTGCTTTCAGGTTCTCTACTTGCGCCCTGAGATCAACATTCTCCTTTGTCAAACGAGCTACTTCATCATTTGACACCGGAACCCCTTGGGCTTGCTGACCTTCTATGATAGCATTCTTGGCCTTCCAAATTTCCTTAGTTGCACTGTTCTGAGCATTAATAAGCTGTGAGACGGTTGATCTACTTCCTACCCCCCCCCCCCCATTCTTTTCTATGCACTTGCATTCTTCCAAGGTTGTCTAGGAGAAAGTCTGCTTCCTAGTCCCCACCTTGCCTGTCCCCAGTGGTACTTCAAAGAATTTGAACACTTGAGTAAGCAGGAACCCATAAGGAAGGCCATGATTGCCATTTTTGAAGGTGTCAATCTTTTACATGTGTTCAATCATAATAGCAGGCAGACTCACAGAAATAAAACTGTCCAGTTGCTCCATCAAGAACAGGTCAGACTTAGAAGTCACTGACCTCCTCTCAACTCGAGGCAATAGAACTTTGTTAACCAATTCGAATAGCAGCTAATAGACAGGGAGTAGCAGTTTCTTATGGATCTGGTCCCCCTTCTGGTTTGCATTGTCTTTTACCACGTCATTTTTGAAGTTAAACTGACACACATCTTTTACACTGGACACACCAGCTGTAGGAACTTTAAGAATCTCTCCAAGCAACTTTACATCGAACACAATGTCTACTCCATTGACCAAAGAACAAATGTGGTTAGTCTCAACGGGAAAGAGGCTAGCAAAGAAGCTTTGTACCTCATCCTCATATACCTTAGGTGCATCAATTTGAAATAGATGCGCCCAGCGTTGAAACTCGACCATTT